AGAACTGAATGCAAATTAAAAGTATCATTTAAATTACATGATAATTAAGGATATTCACAAGACCTACCCCAATTATACAGTTGGATCTTAAGCATTGCGTTAAAATTTTGCTTTCGCTGTAAAACCAGCATAGGGTCTGTATCTATGTATAAAAACTGTAGGGAGAGAAAGAAGCATTGGCTTACACGCAGGAGGTAAGAAAAAGAATCCTGGGTTGGTGAATGGACATATTACACACTTCATGTTTTGTCACAGGTGGCCACAGCTGCCATGTTTATGAACCTATCAGTTTTTAGAAGAATGTGATGCCAAATATCAACATATGGTTTTGCAGTATCTACAAGCAAGGCACAAGGTTTTTTAGTTTCCATGTGAACTCCCAATGGAATTTATCAATCACTCTGTGAGTGCCATAATGTAATGTTAATTTCATTTTAAGAAAAACTTTTAAAAAAATTCTATGTGTATTTAGAAATTATAGGAAATCTTATCCCAGATACTGACTGCTTCCAGCGGACATGCCAAGATACTGACGGCGCACACTGTGCTATGCCGGGATGGCTCAGATGAAAGATGGCCACAGTGAAAGATTCAGTTAGACTCACAAGGTGAAAGAGATTAAAAGTTAGCTGTGGTAATGTGATCAGTGTTTGTCTCATAACATACTGTGTCTACAGCTTGTTTCTATGAACAGGAGTGCAGCATGAATCGACACGCTGCATTCTATAGGACATGGGACATCATTGAGATTCCCATGCAAATGAATTCATCAGTATATATAAATATATTTTCTCTTATTATAAAAGCACAAATGGATGGATTGTTGCCCAGTGTCACCTGGGATAGACTCCAGCCCACTCATGACCCTGGACTGAACATGAAAATGGATAATCATGAAGCAACTCCACTGATGCTGGTAAGTCAGCTACAGGGTCATCAGCTGTGAGCCACATGATGCAGATGCTTGCAGATGTTTGGCCCCCTTTTGCAGCAATAGGGATTTTTGCTCTACTACTTCCTGCAGCTTGCTGTATAGATCCTTTCCTGTCCAACTTTGCATTTATTCCTGAGCCACAGCCAGAAACTGCCTTGTCCAGACTCTTTAGCCATTCTTTCACTGTCGTACTCTGCATGGCTCCGCTAATGCCAAGAGCCTTAGTTGTTGCATGGATTTTCCAGTGACACCTCTGTAGCCACTTTCCATTGGATAGGAGAAGGCGTTTCACCCTGCTTCTGTATCCCAACAGCTTACCTGATTAAGTGACTCTGTGATTGGGATGTTGATGCACTGGTGTTATTTAGTTATGCTCTATGTGACTCCAAAACCTCTGCCAGCTTGCACAGAACCAATCATGATGTCATCTGTATCATACCTGATTTGTGCTCTATTATAAGAGTAAACTGGGGTTATGGATGCAGTTAATGGTGGCGGTTCATTTCTGAGTCACTCAAAAGATCAAATTTACATGGACTAAAGATACATAAATAGATACATTGCTCTATTAAGGAATCTCAGACTTTCTTGTTAAATCTTCCATATGTTGGCCCATGGCATGGCCCTGCTAGTAAATATACCCCAGGTTTATGTATTTTTTCTAATGCCACTGGCTTACAACTGTAATTGTGAACATCTCGTCCTCCATACTAGTGACTTCTGAGACCTCAAGTTGTTTCCTCTCATTTGTTTTGACTTTTGGGGAGTTGGTGCTCAGCTGAGCACAACACTTCTCCTGATAATAGCGTATGTTGGTTGATTCTAGTTGTAGTTGGAGAATGTGTTTTCCAAACAGGGCATGGAGGGAGAACTTACTTCCAGACATATTTGTTGGCATCAGGGTAAGCAGGTAGGACCAGAGCTTAATTTAACTGTGAAGGTCTTCAGTCTATGTTCTCCAGGCCTTCATAAAATTATGTAATGACTGAGGAAGTCATGTGCTTGGATGAGCGCTCCAAAGACTCTTCACTGGCTGCCCTATCAGCAGTGGGATCTTTTTCTTTTCACTGAAGAAGGAGATGTTATCAGTCCTGATCCCTTTCCTAACTGACAGGCCTGACTGGTTTGATTTTCATCCTTGCCCATCTAAGGTTCAGGAACCTTGTTGTGAAATGAGCTGTTTGCAGGGCTGTGGTGATGCTGTCCATGTTATCCATCTTATGGCTGGTAGATGCCTGATTGGGATTGCATTCCTTGAACATCAGTCAAGATTATTTTGAAAACTGCTGTGAATGAATAGATGGGCACAAAAGATGTTGAAATATAGTATGAGGATTCAGCCGCTAATATATGTAACTGTGTGTGTGTGTGTGTGTGTGTGTGTGTGTGTGTGTGTGTGTGTGTGTGTGTGTGTGTGTGTGTGTGTGTGTATAAAAAAAAGGTAACATTAATCCAGATGAATTCAAACAATCTTCTATGAAATACATACATGCAGGACTCCATTGTGTATCAAGGACAAAATGGATTAGGTGCAATTTGCATAATAAACAAACAAAACAAACGTACAAAAAAAGCAAAAGTAAATAAACCTTGAAGTGAGTCCTTGTCTGCTTCCGTCCATTTTTATGTACACAGTTTATTAATCAATATTTGTGGGGCATAATTACAGTTGTTTTGCTTGTTGGGAGGTAATGGAGATTAATTAGTGACCTGCAACAAATGCTGTATGTATAAAGGGATAATGAGCGCCGCTTTATGCTTTAATTTTTAAGTGATATGCCAAGTCATCTGAGAAAGCGGGAAATTAACTTTAGACTTTTTAATTGTGTTTTATTCTTTGTTTATGGTTGTTTGTTACTTAAAGACCCCCGGTGGGTCCATCTTTAAGCTGAAAGTCTCTGAAGCACGGGAGCAGTAATGAAACAGGTCCTGTTGTGTGAGTGGCCTGTCTCTGTGGGACTTTCTTAAGGTGACCTTCCACAGATTAAAAACGCCATTTAATGTCTCTCCATCAAATGCTATATTTGGCTCAAACATTAAAGACTCCTTCACCTATAAGAACCCAGGAAGCAATGGAAACCCACTTCCACTCAGCCTGAAACGCAACTTTTTAATTATACTTTGATTTTCTTTTAATCTAGTCATTCTGTTTTCCTTCTCCACATCTGTACATAGCACATTTATCAAAGCCTGGAAAAGCCACCCTCCCTCTGTTCTTTTATTTATATTACAATTGTGGATGTTCTCAGTAATCTTATCCAATGTTTAAAATAATGGGGTCAAAGCATGAACAAGGAAACACATGAACTAAAAGTTCAGAAATGCTCAGACAGCGTTTTTCTACTTTTGGCCGTGTATGATGTCACAGAGAAAAGATATGGAAAAGATATATATAAATCTTATAAAGTTTGTATCTGTCTTGTGTGAAACTTGTATGAAAAGCATACAAGAGTGAAAATGGATATAAGATCCCTTGAAGAATCATATAAATGAAACTTGTATGTTTTGGATACTTACTAAAACAATATATGAAAGTAATGAGAAAGTGGCCACTGTCATGAGTAAATCATGTAAGCCTTATATGATTCACTATATGAAGCAAATCTGATGCAAGTCTTTTATAAGTTTTTTCTATTTCTTTTCCATATGGGTGGTCATCTTAGTCACACGTGGAAGATGGAATTAAAACTAAATGTTTGGGGCAGAGGGTTAACTGATGGAGCTGTGCCCAGACCTACTATAAGACAGTCATAGAGGGTCTATTTTGAACTGTGGATCATGCAAAGCTTGTCTGGATAAGTCCAATAATGAGAAATCTGGAGTTAAGAAGCAGACGTCCTCTTTGAGTTTAGCAGTACGAAACAGTAAATGGCCAAAAAATAAAATAGTGATTCAGCCAGAGGTGCATTTAACAAAACACAGTAATATACAACAGACACTATATACAGTGCTGTTGGTTTAACATGTAAATTTGGCCACATCACACACACACAATGCTGAAGCCTTTTTGTGTTGCTTGTGATACATCCAGCATCCACATAGCCAGACAAAATCTTGTTTGAACACAAATGTGGTGCTTTTAGACTCTAATAAAATTTTAACTGAATGAAGCTGAGCTGAAACAAAACATTGCAATCACATATAAGTCACACACTAGGAAAAACCAGGAAAACCAACTTTAAAGAGACACACACTCTAACTGCATTATCTCATGGAAAAGGCATACAGTCATGCACTCGGATATATGGGCTAATCAATATACACAGCTGGAAATGAAAGCACACTGGGAAAGGCAATCTGTTGAAAATCAGTAACATAACAATTAAACTACATTATAAATACTCTTGACTTCGCCCACTTATCTTTTCTTCACTTGAATAACATCATGATGAAGGATTACTAGTACTTTAACACATTATGTGTCAGCACTTGTTCAGAGGCTGTGGTTGCTTCAGATATTTCTTTGTGGTGAGGTTGCTTCAGACCCAGGGGGAGCGATGAAATTCATTTTTAAGCATATTATTGTTTATAATTGAAATAAAGTAAGTAAGTAAATTTTGTTTTTATAGCACCGTTCGAGATAAAAATGACAAGTGCTTCACAGAAGCTAAAAAAAACAACAACACAAAATAACAGTTTTTAACTGAAGGTGAAGATTTATTACGAGTTTACAGATTAGATGTTTGACTGTCTCCTCTCCACAGTGTCTGAACTGATTTCCAGAGGACCTTTAATTAAAAACAAAATCAACCGTGACATCATCCGAAAAATTAATAAAAGCTGAAATCACCAAACGCCGCGGAAGTCTGTGTTTTTCACTAGAGCTGTATTGTGTGAGTGCGTGTGGAGTTCAGCTGAGACATCCACTATACTAAAAAATCCCTTGCCCTTTTCCTGACAACATTTCCACAGCCGTGGACCTCCAGTCTGCTCATCCCCCTTAAACTCCACCTCCATCTTCGTATTGGCTCTCCATGTCTGTTGCGTTCCCTTCTTCGCGTTGCTGTTGGATAATGCCTCTGTCCGTCCGTGTAACTGACACGAGTGGAGCTTTAGTCTCCTCCCAGCGGCAGCAGACGATATTTGAGTGGAGACCAGTGGATTGTTGTACATAGAGCAGATTCAGTGTCGTCAATGGGAAGCACGCGAGACGGTGGCAAAGCTAGTTACGGTCTAGATTGAAATCCACAGCTGCACCATGCTCTCCAGGTCTCTCCCGTGTCTGTGGATTACGTTTTGCCTTCATTTATGCTTTTATGTAGACAGCGGTGAAGCACAGAATGCGAAGGAAGGTAAGTTCCCAAAGTTTTCCTCTCTTCCACCCCACTGCAGTTGGAGACGACATTAACATAAATATGTCAAAAATCAGCACATCGCGTCCTGACATTGAAAGAAAAATATCTCTTTTTGCTTTTAGTTACTCGGAATTTTAATGTCAGGTGATAACTGAGCAGGCATAACAGAATTGTCTGCTACCAGGCTTTGGTGTAAGCGGTCTCTTGGTGTTTTTACGCACGGCAACTAAACGCTGTAGAATAGGCGCAGAGGCTCTAGTTTTTTGGGGTTTTTTTGTTCCAGCATCAGTGGGTAATCGGTACAAATAACCTGCTTGTTATAGATTAACGGTCTGTCAGGCATAAGTGGGTTTATATCTCAGCAGCAGTCTCGCCTCGCTGGAAGTGAGTAAGCCTTCTATCAGGACGCAGTTTCGGAGCGTTATTTCCTCCAAAGTGTCCTCGGCTTTTGACAGTCGTGTCTGTTCTTGTTTCCTGGAAGGAAAATCCAGTGGAACGATGCGGAGACATGATCTGCCTTAGACTTTCAAGTCGTCTAGAGTCAAGGCAATCGAAGACTAAAATGGAAGGGAATTCAGATACACGATAACAGCTAATAATTGGCGCCTTCATTTAGCCAGAATTGAGTTAAATGACATTTTACGATCGTGTTAGTAAAAGCATAAAGTCAGCCGCAGGAACTGGTGTTCATAGCGGAAAGTACAGTGTAATAACCGTAGATGCTGGAATGGTGTGAGGAATTGTAAATCACAGGTGAATGCGGGATTTCGTAGACCTCCATCAGACGTTTGATTTATTTTTTTAAATATGCAAAAAATAAACAAATAAGTAAATATTCATTTTATTGATTGACTTTTCCCCCGGCGGTGCACCGTGGCCGCTTCCCTTCCCCGTCGTGATGTAGATGTCTGCTAATATTAAATACAATTGAAACAACTTCCTCCATTTTTCGGGAAGCCGCCGCGGTGCCGCTCTGCGCTCTCGCACGCGTCCCCACTGCCCTCTTCGTCGCCGCCGTCCTTTAAAATTGCGGAGACGCCGCATGTCACACATTGTTTCGCTGTAGTTTTGTGGCCGTCTGCAGCTCAAAATAGCCTTCATCTTTTTGCACTTGTAAGTCCAGGGTAATAAGAGCTACTTTCTTCGTAAGGCAACAACTTTCATGCTAAAATTACTTTTAATTTTAAAAAGGAAAATATATAAATTAGATACAAATGCTTATTTTTTTTGTAGTGATTCCTATTACATATGTTTCGTTAGTGTTTTTCATAGTGAGCTAGAAAGTTCCAAGCATGAGGACCTGTCTGCTGCAGTGTATACCTTCCTTTCTGCGTTTCTATTTTGCTGCTGGCAGAAATTAGGTCGCGGGTTTGTGCTGTATAGACGTGCGGCCTATCAGTAATTCCAAGGCCCGATGCCCCGGTGAGATTTAACCACCTGCTTCTTGGTTTCCTGTCACTAGTGATTCTACTGGACTCCAAGGCACAGCAGACAGAACTGGAGTGGATCTCCTATCCTCCCAATGGGGTAAGTCTGCAGAACCGCATCGAGTGCATGCGGATGTGCTCCATATATCTGGATTTTTTCCCCTGCTATCTGTGATGTCTCACATATGTGATAGGAATAATAATATGTATGTGCTATAGTCCTCTGCTCAAGAGAGGTCTGTCCTGAGGAAAGATGGAGCATGCAAGAGGCTGTTTTCTGCAGCTAAACTCTGCCGGCTTTTGGCATTCAGAGCACAAAGGCCTCAAGCAAACCACTTCTAACTTGCTGATTAAAGTGTGTGTGTGTGTGTGTGGGGGGGGGACTTTTTAAATAAATAATGTGAGCACCAGCAGATAAACTGAGCACCATCATTCTTTAAAGATGTGCTTGTGCGATAAACGGATAATCTACCTTCTCTGCAGTTTTTTGTATACAAAGCTGTCTGAAATGACTATATTTCATAAACCTTTGTCGTATTCGTTACAGTGTAATCACCTGCAGTTTAAGTTTCTTCATTAGACACCTATCTCTGTTGTTGCTTTCACATTCAAGTTTGTTTCTGTGTGGATGCATTCATGTACAAATCTGTGTTGTGTTCTTTCAGTGGGAAGAGATAAGCGGCTTGGATGAGAACTATACACCCATCCGAACATACCAGGTTTGCCAAGTCATGGAACCCAATCAGAATAACTGGCTTCGGACTAACTGGATAGAGAAGGGCGATGCCCAGAGAATTTTTGTGGAGCTGAAATTCACCTTGAGGGATTGTAACAGCCTACCTGGTGTGGTGGGCACTTGCAAGGAGACATTCAACTTGTATTACCAGGAAACAGATTCAGAGGTAGGACGAAGCTTACGGGAGAATCAGTACGTGAAAATAGACACAATTGCAGCAGATGAAAGCTTCACTCAGGGTGACCTAGGCGAGAGGAAGATGAAGCTGAACACCGAAGTGCGCATAATTGGCCCCCTGTCCAGGCGGGGCTTCTACCTGGCCTTCCAGGATGTAGGAGCGTGCATCGCCCTGGTCTCTGTCAAAGTTTATTACAAGAAGTGTTGGTCTATCATCGAGAACCTGGCCACGTTCCCAGACACCGTGACGGGATCAGAGTTCTCCTCGCTGGTGGAGGTCGAGGGTATGTGCGTGAGCGATGCCGAGGAGGAAGCCGATAACTCTCCTAAGATGCACTGCAGTGCTGAGGGGGAATGGCTAGTGCCCATTGGGAAATGTATATGCAAAGCTGGATTTCATCAGAAGGGAGACGCATGTGAACGTGAGTCACTTTCACTCATTTATTGATTTATTTTTTATGTAATTTTTGAGAGAAATTCTCAGACTTTTTTTATTTAACAACATTTTATAAATAATTCAGTTCATTTTATAAATGAAAAAAATAAGGAAAAAAGGTAATGAACTTAATAGTATGTGTGATTAGATTATGCAAAACAGGTGAATGACAATTTAGGCACCAGTGGACGTATAGTTGTGTGTGATAGTAGGATTACATGAGCTGGTTTGACAGGAATAAACTTGCATAAAGTCTAATAATTTGATTTTGTATTAAGTGATTATGAGGGTTTTAATTTATTGACATGACTCTGTTGACACTAGGATTAAATAATATCTTGAGTTTAGCTCCGCAGTTCCCAACACTTCTCTCTGTGTTACTGGCTGGAAGCCAAGACAATCACTAGCAGAATATACAGGTCTAGAGGAAGTCCATCCAGTCACTCAGTATTCTCTGTGACCCGGCCAAATGACCCAGACAGAGTGGGAAAACAAATTGCCGCTGTCCTGTGGCATTTCGGCCTCGGGATATTTATGAAGGGAGGCTGGTTTTTGGATTGTTGTGGTGCCGAGTGTTCCACTACAATTACCGATAATGTGCTTTCTGTCACTCTGAACTCCCAGAGGATTACTTCCAGTAGACACCTGACTTGAGCGATAGAAATCACTGCAGATTAAAAGAAGGGCGACTTAGGTACTTGGGTCACGGAACCTAAGCAGCGCCCCTTATTAGCCAAACTTTTTCTTTTTTGCAAAGCGAGCAACCTCAATCTAAGCAGCTTATAAGGAGCAGCAGCCAGTAATAATTGAACGGAATGCGTCTAAGAACAAATTAGTGTCCCTGGCAGACAAGCTTTTATGCCATGCTGTCATCCATTAGGGACCCCTCTGAGGGAGGTGTGCTAATGAAATATATTAGACCATGTAATTTAGAGCAACACAGCCTGCCTCAACTTGTGCTAATGTTAGGAGGCTATCGCTTATCCGACCCCACAAAACCCCTTCTTATTGTTCTTTTGTTCTTATACGCACACATAAGATCCGATTGTGCACTCAGGTTGAAAGAAAGCACACAATTTATTTCCATGGGGAGTGTGGTGCAGCAGAACAACCAACTGCTCCGGGTTGTCAGAGTCATTTTAACTACCTTTTATTACATCTTGGTACAGAGTCCTCACAACAAAAGATGGTTGCATGTCTCTATTAATTAATCTGTTAAAGTGTCAACTACAACAAATAACCTGCAGATGTGGGCAACAGCACAATGAGTCTATCCTTTAGTCGTTAAAAACCCGAGGGATGGAGGCACCTTAATGCGTGTGCCGATCAAGATTCCAGTCTTGACACTGCACCTTTATGAGCTTTATCTCTACTGAGGCATGAGATGCTTTTGTATTAAGGGGTAGTTAATCTAAATAAAATGAGAATCACAGTGCACCATCAGCACTTCTTCCAGTTGCTCCACTGACATCAAATTGTCCATTCAGTAGTTTCCACCTAGAACAATCTAAAAGCTATTCAAAGTATTTCTATCAGCTGAACAGCAGAGCAATAAGTCCAAGTATCTGTGACCGTAGGAAGAATAAGTGAGATCCTTGAACCAGTTTGTCTTAGTGCCGTAAAAGTAGCCTACTTTATCTTGTGACTTTATCTTTTTCTGTTGATATGTTAACTCCTGGACTTTTAATGTGAAGAGTTAAAATGAAGCATTGCCAACATATGTCTGTTTATACATTTGGTACATTGGAAAAATGTATTATACAGAGGGGCAAAGCACAGGGAAGTTTAGTATTTTCTGTGTTGTACTACTAATAGGTTCAGTTTTTGCTTTCCCAACTCCTGACAGAGCAAACATCTGAGTGCTCGTTCATTTTAGTGGTTTGGAAAGTTTTAATGATTTTTGCAAATCTAAATGATTCTGCAGTTTAGTGAAATACACTTTGCCTGTCAAGGTCAACCAGTCCTAATCCCAAACCCTGTGATCTCTGAAGATCTTTCTAGTTATTGTTTTTGGCTGAGATAAAGCCCTATTTGTGAAAAGGATACATGTTTGAAATAATGTTATCCTTCAATTAAAGTCTCATACATGTATTTTGGCTTTCCTTTTATTCTGCTATAATCTTTTCATTTGGGTATGTTAGATAGGGACAGATTGCATAAAAAGTGACTGACACTACACCTAACCGTTAATGGGTTGTTGACATTCTAGTTGTTCCTAACAGGTTAAAGCCACTTAAGGATCTAGCCAGGATTACAGTGGTCTTGTAAACATGTGAAAATAATTTCCATTACATTCAATCTTTGCTGAGCATGTGTTGCCTTGAATAATGACAACCAAAAGGTGACTTTGGTTTGTAGTTATCTGACAAGCACTTATTGTAAAGAAAACTGACTCCTTAACACACTTCTTAACTGGCCTGTTTTAGAATGAGCAACTGTGCTATGATTATAAAGCGGGCACTGGGAGGGTGGGGGTGGAGTAAGCGAGTTGAGCTGTCACTCATGTAATTTGAGGAGCCTCTGTGTGGATGCAAAGGCCTTCTCCAAAAGTTGTTGTGATCCACTCATTCATCATCTCTGTCCCCACCCCCATCCCACCCCACCCTCACCCACACACATACACACACAAATCCCCCCACCCCCCCCTCTCGGTCCGTTGTTAACTCTTTTGTGGCAATCTGCGCCGTGTTCGTTCAGTGATCTCAGCGTAATGGCTGTTGAAAAAGGCCAGTTGAAGTGTCCCCGCAGCCTGCGAAGGCTTCATTTTGCAAAGAAGTGTGTGTTGGGAAAAAAGCGCCCATTCATCTGCTGGTTCTGTTTAGCGCTGGCCACTGGTGGCAATGGAGCCACTGAGTCGTTTAAACAGAAAGAGGGCCCTTGTGGGAGGACACTGGTGTCTTTGTTTCACTCAATCCCGGGAATGTATGTTGTCCAATTTTGACACATCGCATCATTGTGGTACTAAGTAACCAGTGCCTGAGAAATGATTAACTGTTGACCCTGTCCCAGAAAAGGGAGAGACTGCTGTCTGGTGGAAAACAGATAAAACGGGCCATATCTCACTGCTATCGGTGCATGCTAACTAGAGAACTAATGAGAGGATACAGCATCCTGTAGATGCTGGCACCATCCATCTTGACTGTCAGGGAGTTAGACAGAAGTTAGTAGGAGACTGATTGATGATTAAACCCCCTGAGGGAAAGGGCTGGGATCTGACCGCGACAGCTTACGTGTATGGAAGCCACCAGGCAGCCAGGTCTAGCTCCAGGCTTGAAGAAAAGGCTGTATTTAGCATTTCAAATGAGGCCAAGAAGTCAGGAGGTCCTCATACATCTTGATGCTCCCTTGATTGATAAGGTGTGAATTTAATACACCAAATGGCTGTCTTTTGCCACTGCTCTGGAGCTTAATTATGCAAATGATAGGTATGTGTCGAATATCACAAGAGACCCAAATGGACCCAAATCACTCAAGATTGAAATAAATTGGTGATGGATGGGATTGCATGCTGTCACTGCCAGTGCCTGTTTCCTGTGAATAGTAGCATTCTTTCTCAGCCTCGGGCTTTTTCCTACTTGTTGTTTTGGCCTGGCAGGTAGCAGTCTGAGATAAGATGTATTATTTTCTGCTCACAATGTTTCCACCAATCCTGTTGGCACTACCTTAAAAGTGATCACTTAGGGAAGGACCCCGAGACAAAAACAAAAGCATTCAGCGCTGTGCCCAATAATAACGTAATAATTAAAGTCATTTATCAAGTAAAAAGCTAGACATCGATAGAATAGCTGATTTCATACAATCGCAGGTGGAGCCATTTCTGAACTTTTGATTGAAAAAGAATTTTTTTTTTTTTTAATGCAAGGTAATTTTGAAAAATGATCTAATAATTAAATTAGACCATGTCTGGAGGTGTTGTGCTTCTTACTTTAACCAAATTCATTGCATTTTTTTTCTTCTTTTTTTTTGCATGAACACTCTACTCCTCATTTCTATTTTCTAGCATTTTGAGGCCCTTCAGTATTACCTCCAAACTCTGCTTCTCTGTGCTTTATATAGGTGGAGAAAATTATACAAATAGGAATTGCAGGTTCCGTAGAAAAGAAAACAGTGCTTTAGGTCACTAAAAAGGGCAATATTGTGCTACATTTCAGCTAAAGTTACACTGCTGAAAACAGATGTAGAATTTACTTCCTGACAATTCCTATCCAGATGTTCTGCTTTAATTCCTGCTCATTAGCAGAGACTAAACCGCAGTTAAGGCATGAGTAAGGAAACTATGTTTGAAAATCGTGATTTGCCAAGCTGGAATAAATGGTACTTGTATAACGTTCATATCCAGAGCCTCATTTTTAAATATCCACTACAGCATGAGAAGTGAGAGCCTGGGTTAGTAAATATTAGTCTGAACATTAATATTCTGATTACTTAACTTATTCACACATCCTGAAAACTGAGTGCATGCATTAGACTCTTTGAGCAGCATTAAAAACAAGTTTCATGAAGATATTTAAGCTTTATACAGGGAGTGCAGAATTATTAGGCAAGTTGTATTTTTGAGGAATAATTTTATTATTGAACAACAACCATGTTCTCAATGAAACCAAAAAACTCATTAATATCAAAGCTGAATGTTTTTGGAAGTAGTTTTTAGTTTGTTTTTAGTTTTAGCTATTTTAGGGGAGATATCTGTGTGTGCAGGTGACTATTACTGTGCATAATTATTAGGCAACTTAACAAAAAACAAATATATACCCATTTCAATTATTTATTTTTACCAGTGAAACCAATATAACATCTCCACATTCACAAATATACATTTCTGACATTCAAAAACAAAACAAAACAAATCAGCGACCAATATAGCCACCTTTCTTTGCAAGGACACTCAAAAGCCTGCCATCCATGGATTCTGTCAGTGTTTTGATCTGTTCACCATCAACATTGCGTGCAGCAGCAACCACAGCCTCCCAGACACTGTTCAGAGAG